CCCCAAAACCCCAAAACCCCAAAACCCCAAAACCCCATTGCTAAGAATCAATAGATGTAATGAGTGGAATAAAATAAAGTATTAATAATATTAGCATGCAAAAATCAAAGAAGACTCATAAGGTCCTACTATTGGGATCTGGTCTCATGACACCAGGACTTGTGGACTATCTAGTCTCATTCAAGGACACTCACATTACTGTGGCAAGCAATATCTTAAAGGATGCAGAAGCTGTTGCTAAAAGACACCCATAATTCATTAAAGCAGCACTTTTAGACATCTTTAGTGTAAGTAGTAAATGAATCATCTAGATATTCAGAAATCTTATTATCTTATAGGAGAAAGATTTAGATGCGATTGTGAGCCAGCATGATGCAGTAATCTCATTTGTACCGCCACCTATGCACCTTCCAATCTTCAAGTCATGCTTAAAACTAAGCAAACACCTGACGACATCAAGTTATATTTCTCCAGAAATGGAGTAGCTACACGAGGAAGCCAAATAGAAAGGACTCATTTTCCTCAATGAAGTTGGATTGGACCCTGGCATTGATATTATGAGCACCATGAAAGTTAAAGATGAAGCAGAGGCTCAAGGATATAAAGTTGTGTCTTATGAAAGCTATTGTGGAGGTCTCCCAGTAGCTGAATAAGCTGATAACCCTCTAGGTTATAAATTCAGCTGGAATCCAGGCGCTGCCATTAAGGCTTCAAAGAATAGAGCAACTTTTAAGAAAGGAAATAAAGTAATCATTAGTGTATTTTACCTTAAATGCTAGGTTGTGGTCGTTGATTCACCATTGAAGGTAGTTGAGGAGAGAAAAGACATCTCAGTAGCAATGAAACTTGAAGTCTATCCTAATAGAGACAGTCTTAGGTTAGTTGTTCAAAATCTTAAAGATTTATAGCTTCATGGAAAGATTTGGGATGCAAAACTGTGAAACTTTCATCAGAGGAACTATTAGATTTTCAGGCTTTTCGAATGTGATCTCAGCTTTTCACGACATTGGACTGACATCTGATGACCCAGTCCCTGATGGTGTTAAGACTCTCAGAGACTTAGCAAACTCTAAGTTCAGAGGAACTGCATTAGAAGACATGAAGAACTCTTAACCTGAAGGACTAGAAATCGTTAAAACACTGTGTGGGGATTTAGATGAGAAAGATGCTGACTATCAATTGATTAGAAAGTTCTGTAATGTCGATGTTAAACATATCAATCAAGCAGAGAGATCTGATTTTTACCGTTAACTAATAAAGACTATCAGATTTTTAGGCTTCTTTGAGAATGACTAACTCGTAACTAAGACAAAGGATGGCAAACCAAGAAGCTATTTAGATGCATTCGGTGATGTAATGGCTCACAAGCTATCAATGACAGATGATGATAGAGATTTGGTGGTTATGAGGCATAACTTTGTGATTGAAGATAAGAATAAGAAGAGATGGAATCACTATAGCACTTTGATTGCCTCAGGAAATTCAAAGAAACAAGGAGGCTATACAATTATGGCGAAGACTGTAGGTTGCACTGCAGCTATAGGCATGAGACTGATTCTTGACGGAAAAATCTCTCAGAGAGGAGTATTAAGCCCAATAACTAAGGAAATATATGATCCTTGTCTATAGGAGTTAGAGAGACTCGGAGTAGTCATGGTTGAGGAGTCTGAGAGGTTCAAGACCACAATGAGACACAAGTTGTGAATCATGCGATGCATGAAATATCTGATCATAGAATTGTGTTAGTCGATAATATCAATTCATATTAAATTTAAATCTTGACTTCCTTATTAATTTTATGCATTGGCAATCTCCTTAATTAAGGACTATTTAATAGTTTGATTAGGATCTTTAAATAATTATTTTCTTATAAGTTTGAAGTCGAACAGATGGACGGCGATTAAGATATGCAAGATGCCGAAAGGTAATCTCGTATAGCGGACGAAGAAATGAATGGCGGAGAAATGGACGAAATGAACGCAAGCCAGCATGATGACCAGATGGATGGAAGATCACAAAGACCAAGCGCTTATGGCGGCTCTCAAGCTAACAGATCTAGAAGAGGTGATGCTGATAACGGCGATGGAGCCAGCAGAGCTGGGGAAGCTGAAGATGGTGATAACGATGGCGAAAACGGTACTTACGACGAAAATGACGAAGAAAGAAAAGGCTCAGTCCGTGGAGACGGAGATGATGAAACTGGCAGCAGACGTCAAAGCGCCAAACCAAAGAGATCTAGGCCCATTGCTAATGGCCACAAGTCTACTGAGAAGGCGAAGGACCTCTCTAAGGATAACAGTAAGAACCATTCAATTTCTTAACCGTATTTATAGGACTTCTTTGGATGATTAACTAACTCGAGCAAAACCTTGAGAAATTCAAACCAGGTGAAATGTGGAAGCCAGCCTACTATCAATGGCTCTTGGACTTCCTTGATGAACGTGATAACAGAAAAATTTTCTTCTGGGTTGATAACGAAGAAATCAGTATCTCTATAGCTAACCCACCTAGATACTATGGTAAGTATGAGACTAAATCATGTACCTAAAAGAAAAAGGCCTTAGATTCGTTTCCCTCCAATTTCAAATTTAAATTTGGTCTTATCCAGGTTTAAATTTTGATAAAATGGGATTAGATCTAGGACCTTATTTCCTTATTTATTCAGATACTTATTTAAATAGATCTTGGAATTGATCCAGCAGATTTTCAGGTTTGCTTCTTCCTTAAGAGACAGTGGGAAACACCAATTACTTTCGCTAACATCTAAGAAAGCTTGATGGTCAGCGTGGTCGATGGAGATCCTTTAGATGACTTATTGAACAACATGAATGCTGAATTCTTACCAAAGCTTCTTGGCGAAAAGAACTGGCCAGAGGGAGTAAAGAAAGAGTTCGTTGCCTAACTTCACAAGTTTATGGCTGCCCTAACAGAGGCTTCACATGCCTCCAAGGGGAGAACTACTCTCTATATTCCTAATGAGGACTTAAGCGATCCAGAAGCTGCTGCAAAGGACAAGGACTTACTCCAAAGACTTGAATCAACAGTTATTTACTGGACAAGACAAATCAAGGAAGTCACTTCAAATCAAGACTCACAACAGAGCACTGAGAGCACTAGTCCACTCGATGAGATCAAGCACTGGACAAGCAGAACAGCAAACCTCAATATTCTCAATATTCAACTGCAAAAACCTGAACTAAAGAGAATCATCAATGTGCTAGACCTTGCTGGAAGTTCTTATCTTCCAGGCTTCAAGGATCTTGAGAAAAAGATTAAAGCTGGACACGAAGAAGCTAATGATAACCTTCAGTTCTTGAACACATTGGCAGAGCCTTGCAGAAAGATCGAAAATGCTGAGCCTAAGGACATTCCAAAGATCCTTCCTGAGGTACTAAACTGCGTGAGACTAATATGGGAGCTAAGCAAATTCTATAACTCCCCAGAGAGAATGAAGGGATTATTGACCAAAATCTCAAATCAAATCATAAAGAGATGTAGAGCAAAGATCAACAAGGACGATATGCTCGAAGGAGATGTTGAGAAATGCATGTAAGATTTGGATGAGAGCATTGCCTGCTGCAGAGAATGGAAAACTATCTGTCTCAAAATGCAAGGACTAATTAAGAAGTACTCTACAAGAAAGAACTGGACTCTCGATAAAGATGAGACAATCTTTGCTGAAAACGAAGCATTCATCCAAAGATGCAAAGACCTAAAGGAAATTTGCGAAGGCTAGCTCCAATTCGCTAGAAAGAGTGAGAAGATTGTGATGCCTGTCTTTGGTGGTTCAAAAGGACCAGAGCTCACTTAAAACTTACTTGACTTAGAAAAAATGTTTGAGAAGCACCTCTAAAACATTAAAAAACTAGACTACGACATCTTGGACGTCAAAATTACAAAATGGCATGATGACTACGGGCAAGTATTCAAAGAGAGCATCAAGAACATAGAAATCATCTATCAAAACATCATTGCTCTTGCCTTCAAGAACATCTCAACAGTCCCAGACGCCATTGAGATGCTAGAAAACTTTGATTCGCTCAGCAAGAGACCAATGATTAAAGACTATGTACACAAGAAAGCAGCTGAATGGGTTTACAAACTCTTTATGGATGAAGTCAAAGAAGTTGAAGATATGTTTGAGAGTCAACACAAGAAAATGCCACCTATGCCAGTCTCTCATCCAAAGTTTGGAGGACTCGCTATCTGGGCTCAATCCCTTATTGTTAGAATTGATAGAGCTAAAAATGTAAGTAAACAGATTATCAAATTTGCTTTTGCCTAGATCTATATTGAGTTATTTGCTTTTGGAATACCGAGATTAATGAGATTTATTTTGGCTTTTGGATTTTAATCTTATTTGATGGCTGATCCTTTTATGATTAGTTGTCAATCTTAAGCCTAAAATGATACGTAAGGATACTTAGTGTGTGCTGCTTCAATCAGCATTGCATCTACACGCCTTACAATACCCATTTAAAGAAATATAATCCTGATCATTAATCTTAATTTCCATTGATGCAAGCTCATACCCTAACTAATTATTCATATATTAATCACTAATTATAGGCCATTGACACTTTGTACTTTATCCCAGAACACCCACATGCTAAGGATGCACTTGAGAAGTATCAAAAGCTCAGAACCTCACTCGATAACTTCATTGCTGGTTCATGCTACAACAACTGGAAGAAAGAAATTGATATGATGGACACAAAGAACATCGATGATAAGCTCGAAGTTCCCATTTTGGTTAGAACTGAAAATGCTAAGCACGAACTCCCATCATCACTTAACTCAAACCCATTGTTCCAAAGATCAAGAAAGAACGGTCTACTTGAAAGCAACTTTGATACCGTCTTGCTAAAGGTATTGATTGAAGTCACTTACTGGACCAAGATTCAGACACTTGGTTTTATAACCATTCCTCACACTGTGTCTAGACTTCTTGGAAGAAGAGAACAACTTAGAATCCTAAGAGAAAATGTGATGTTGATTGTCAGAGATTATAACAATATCATACATACTATATCTGACGAAGATGAGAAATCACTTTTCAAAGAGCACTTAGATCTGCTTGACAGAACTATTGAGCCAGGTATTAAAAGATATAATTGGGGTGCTGCTGCTGATACCTTTGTCTACACTTGCAGAAGAGACTGTCAAGATGTGTTTAAGAAGGTAAAGAAATACCAGAAGAATCTGCAAAAGATCAACGATGAATTCGAAAAAATTCAAACCACAACCCTCACCTCTATCTAAAAGAGACTCTATCAGCTTAGAGAGTTCATTAAGGAACAAGAAGAGTGCTTGAAGCAAAAGGAGAAGGACTTCAGTGGCTCTTTCGATATAGTCAAGACAAAGATTATGAGAACCTATGAGTTGTTCATTCAAAGAGGTTCCAAGATTCAATCAGAGTGGTTGAGATTTATCAATAAACAAGACAAGAATCTTGAGAAGAGCTTAAAGCAAGCTGTTAAAAATTCACTTATGGATTTATCCAAGCATATCAGAGGTGATAGCAAGCAAGAACTTGTCCCTATTTTCAAGGTAATGTCAAACCTTGACCCAGAAGATGTTAACTGGAGAATATTCCACGACCCAACTCATTAGGAATTGAAGGATTGCATTTCCAACTTCATTACCAAAATCATCACTGTGACTAGAGTTATTCCAAAGCTCGAACGAGTTTTCAGAGAGGAAAGAGAGAAGAAGATTGCAGTCATTAAGAAGGAACTAGACGAGGCAGAGAAGAACGGAGGCGGTGCTGGAGGAGCTGGTAAATTCGGAAGAGGAGGCATGAGAAACCCTGCAGATGTGAACTACCAAAACATGACTGAAGAGGAGAGAGACGAGGAATGGAGAAAGAGATGGCAGTTGCCTAAATTCTACGATGTCAACAAGGAAATCTAGTATCAAGAGTACATCTAGAAGAACAAGGGCATTCAGAACACTTCCCACTAAATCATTGAGGGCATTGATCAAATTCAGCAAATCATTGAAGACGACAGAAAATTGTGGCAAGCCTCAGATGAGTTCAGACAACTCTACAACATCAGATCAGACAGAGGCAGAAAGCGTATCCTTCTTGGAAGCAAGGACGCTCTTGACCCAGATCCAGTTCAAAAGTACAAGGACTCCATTGAAAGTTTGAACGATGTCTTGAACGACATTAAGAACAAGGCTTCCCAAAAGCCAGAGCAGTTCATCATCCTAGATTGCAGCAAGCTCAAGTAAACTCTACTCGAGCAAGGCAATAAATTCATTCAATAGCTCTTCGAGCATTTGATTCAAGAGTCCAAGGAGGATCTCAGCTCACTGCTGATGGAGTTCCATGACACCATTGAGGAACTAAAGACTCCATCAATTGATCTTGCTCATCTTAAGAAGAATAAGGACAAGTACAACGAAGTCAAGAATAAATTACATTTCTTGGAAGCCAGAAGGGAACCAATCAAGAAGAAGTTCCAATACATATTAGATTAAGAATAGGACATTAGTATGAATGGTGGACTTTCAGAAGAAGATAAGGCTAAGCTTTTGAATATGGATGACGCCTGGGTTAAATTCAAGGATGGTCTTGAAGAGTCAAGTTTGATCATTCAGAAGAGTTATGCTCAGTTAAAGACTGAGATGGACCACACTATTGAGGACTTTAAGAAGGAAGTCCAGGATAACAAGAAGAACTTCCAAAATCAAGCACCCTACTCAGTTGATAAGAACGTTGATAACCAGAAAGCCAAGGAAAAGCTTCATGAGTTCAGACAAATCACTAAGGAGCTCAGAGAGAAAGAAGAGGATATGAAGTTCGGTCTTGAGATTTTCGACATTGAGCCTATGGCTTACCCTGAGTTAAGTATAGTTGAAAAGGAGATCACCCTGCTTACTGAAATCTGGAATGTCAAGGAGCAGTGGGACAATGAATGGAACAGATGGAAACTTGAGAAGTTCTACGATCTCAACATTGATCATATGGACGACAAGGCCGTTGAATTCCAAGAAGGAATCAAGGGATTTGATAAGGATGTCAGATAGTGGGGAGTCTACGACTACTTAAAGAATAGGATCGATGGCTTCAGAAGTGCTATGCCACTTATTATGGACTTGAGAGACGAGGCTATGAGAGAAAGGCATTGGAAAGAACTCTGATTTGAGGTAAAAGAAGACTTCGATGAGACTGCAGAGGATTTCACTCTCGAGAAGGTTTTCGAACTTGGTCTTAACAATCACGCTGAAAAGGTCTCTGAGTTAGCAGATAATGCGAGAAAGGAACTCAAGATCGAAGTTCAACTCAAAGAAATCAAGAGAATGTGGGAGGATGACCCAACAACAGATCTAGATATCATCAAAATGAGAAGCAAGGCAAACAACGAGGAATACTATAAAATTTAATCTACAGAAAACCTCTATCAGGTTATTGAAGATCACGTAGTAAAGCTCAGCAACATGAAGAGTTCTCCATATTACAAGCAATTCGATGATAAAATCGATTCATGGGAAAACAACATCGCATAGATTACTGAGACTCTCGAACTTTTGATCCAAGTGCAAGGTAAATGGTCTTATCTTGAAAGCATTTTCAGAGGTCAGCAAGATATCTCTAAGCAACTGCCTAGTGAGAGCGCTATCTTCTAAAAGATTAACAACGATTTCAAGGTTGAAATGGAAAGAATCAACAAAGAAAGAAACGCCTACAAATCACTTATTATTAAGGGCTTCATTGGAATCTTGCAAGATCTCAACAGAAAACTTGAGCACATTCAAAAGAACTTGAATCAGTTCCTTGAAGGTAAGAGAGGTCTCTTCCCAAGATTCTATTTCTTATCTAATGACGATCTACTCGAGATCATTGGTCAGGCCAAGGATCCAGAGCCCATTCAAAAGCACATCAAAAAGATTTTCGAAGGTATTTCCAGCTTGAAATTCAACCAACAAGGCAAAGGTCAAAACAGACAATTCGAAATCACAACCTTGGTCTCCCCAGAGAAAGAAGAAGTAGAAATTAAGCAAGTTATTGTTGATGCCAGAGTTGAGTAGTGGCTCAAGGCATTAATGGAGGCTATGAAAGAAGCTCTCAGAAAGATATTCTTCAAATACTACCAAGAGAACATGGGCAGTTCAAAGAAATTGCCAGAGAGAGAAAAGCTTATGAAAATTATTAGAAGTACTCAAGGTCAAGTCTTAATTACCTGCGCTTAAATGCAATGGACTAATGAAGTCTAATATGCCCTTTAACAACTTGAATAAACTGGTCAAGTTAACGCTCTTAAGAAAGCAAGACAAACCTACAAAAAGAAAGTAGAGAACTACATTGAATTGGTTGAGAAGAGTGGACTCTCTAACTTAGATAGACTTAAGCTAGTCTCTTTGATTACTATCGAAGAGCATAATAGAGAAGTTATTGAAAGACTATATGCTTAAAAGATTCAAACTCCTAGACATTTCGAGTGGCTTTAACAACTTAGATTCAAGAGAGGAAATGATGAGAATGAGTAGCTATACATCTAAATCGATCAAACTAACTGCACTTTCGATTATGGCTATGAGTATCAAGGCAACAATGGTAGATTGGTCGTTACCCCACTTACAGATAGAGCCTATATGACTCTTACTAATGCCTTAAACATGCAAAGAGGAGGTGCTCCACAAGGCCCTGCTGGTACTGGAAAAACTGAAACTGTAAAGGATCTTGGAAAGAACTTAGCCTTCTTCGTTATCATCCAAAACTGCTCAGATTCTATGGATTACATTTCACTTGGTAAGACTTTTGCTGGTCTTGCCTTGTCAGGATCTTGGGGATGTTTCGATGAGTTCAACAGAATTGAGCTTGAGGTGCTTTCTGTCGTTGCCCAGTAAATTCAAACCATTCTTGATGCAATTAAGAAGGGAGAATCTCAAACTTCGTTCTAAGAAATGACTATTTAAGTCCAAAAAGATTGCGGTATCTTCATTACCATGAATCCAGGTTATGCTGGCAGAACTGAACTCCCAGACAACTTGAAGAGTCTCTTCAGACCTGTTGCTATGATGGTCCCAGATTTCAACACTATTGCCAAGATTATCCTTATGAGTGAGGGTTTCAAGAAGAACGAAGAGCTTTCAAAGAAGGTCGTTACTATTTATGAACTTATGAAGAAGTAACTCTCTAAGCAAGATCATTATGACTTCGGTATGAGAGCTGTTAAATCAGTACTTTCAGCAGCTGGAAGAGTCAAGAGAGAAAGACCTGATTGTGATGAATTCACTGTTATGATCAAGGCTATTAGAGATATGAACTTACCAAAGTTCATTGCAGAGGACGTTGTCCTATTCGATAATCTCTTCATTGATCTATTCCCAGGCTGTGATGAGCCAGAAAATGACTGTGATGATTTACTCATTGCTATTGAAGATTCCTTAAAGAAGAAGAACTTGCAACTTAATGAGAACTTAGTTGTCAAGATTCTCCAGCTGTATGAGTCTAAGGTTACTAGACATGGTAACATGCTTGTCGGAGTCACAATGTCTGGAAAGACTACTTGCTGGGAAATCCTCGCAGATGCCCTAAATATCCTTAATGCTGAGGAGAGAGAAAAGAACGTGAAACCAGAAGACTGCAAGTATCCAGCAGTCAAGTGGGAGTCAATCAATCCAAAATCCATTAACATCAATGAGCTTTTCGGTTACTTTGATGATGCTAACCCTCCTCAATGGCACGATGGTATTCTCTCATCAGTGCTTAAGAGAATTTGTCAAGAAGCAAAGAATGATCACAGATGGATGATTCTAGATGGACCAGTTGATACTCTTTGGATTGAATCAATGAACTCTGTGCTTGATGACAACAAACTACTCACCCTTAATAATGGAGATAGAATTGGTCTTTCCCCCAATGTCAGACTATTATTCGAAATCGAGAATCTAGCAGTCGCTTCACCAGCCACAGTCTCAAGAGCAGGTATGATCTATTTGGATATTGACGAACTCGGCTGGAAACCATTAGTTGACTAATGGATTGCAGGCAAACCAGGTGAAGAATTCAAAGAACTCCTAGAAGAGTTATTCAACAAGTATGTGCCAAAGGTATTAAAAGTCAAGAAAAGTCAATGCAAAGAACTAGTCATCACAAGTGAGTCTTCTTGCGTTTTCAATCTCTGCAAGCTCTTCGATGCTTTGTGCAAGAATCTAAAGAAAGCTGATGATGAGGATTAAGAGACTTACTTCCTTTATGTTGAAAAATGGTTCGTATTCTGTCTTATTTGGTCTATTGGAGCCACTGTTGAAGAACAGTCAAGAAGAGAAATAGACTATATCCTCAGAGATATTGAATCTATGTTCCCTCATTCAAATACTGTTTACGAGCACTTTATTAATCACGAAAAGAAGGATTGGGCACCTTGGGATGAGAAGCTGCAAGCCAACTGGAAACCAGTCGATAAGGAATTCCATAAAATTAACGTGCCAACCATCGACACTGTCAGAAATAGATACATTGTTCAATCATTACTTGATCATGGAACTCAAGTTCTTCTAGTTGGCCATTCAGGAGTAGGAAAGACTGTGCTAATTGAAGGTATTCTCCTGACTCTTGATGCTCACGTTCACTACTTCACAATTAACTTCTCAGCTGGTACCTCTTCTGAGAATACTCAAGAAATCATTGAGAGCAACTTCGAGAGAAGAGCTAAAAACAAATACAGACCTAAGAATGCCAAGCAAAAGGCTATCTGCTTCATTGATGATCTAAACATGCCAAGAAAAGACACCTATGGTTCTCAACCCCCACTTGAGCTAATCAGGCAATGGCTAGACTATGGATTCTGGTATGATAGAACAAAGATTCAACAAAACCAAATTTGTGATCTCCAAATCCTTTCAGCTATGGGCAAACCAGGTGGTGGTAGAGCTGAGATCTCAAAAAGACTCTAATCTAAATTCCACATTGTGAACTACACTATCCCCACTGAGACTCAGATGAAGAAGATTTTCGAGACTATCGCTGCTTTTAAATTCCAGATCTTCGACGAGGAGGTAAAGAATCTGAGTGAGCCACTCGCTCTTTCAACAATCTACTTGTTCAACACTATCCAAGAGAACTTCTTACCCACACCAGCTAAGTCTCACTATGTCTTCAACATGAGAGATATTTCAAAGGTTTTCTAAGGAATCTATCTCGCTGATAAGAACTTCTATGAAGGCAAGGAACACATCATCAAGCTCTGGACTCATGAGATCCTTAGAGTGTTCCATGATAGACTGAATTCTTTCGAGGATAGAGAGCAATTCAAAACCTACTTGAACGAACAGCTCTCCCTTCAATTCCAAATGGACTACAAGGAGCACTGCCAGTCAAACGGTGAAGATGCAGTCTATGTAGACTTCCTAAATGAAAACATGAAAGTTTATGAAGAAGTCACAAACTTTGACAAGCTTAGAGAATACCTTATGGACTAATTAGAGAGCTACAATTCTTAACCAAAGCTTATTAAGATGGATCTTGTGCTCTTCAAGGATGCTATTACTCACATTGCAAAGATCTATCGTGTCATCAACCTTAAGAGAGGTCATTGCTTCCTAGTCGGAGTCGGTGGCTCAGGCAGACATTCTCTTACTAGACTAAGCGCCTACATCTCAGAAATGAACGTATTCCAACTAGAGGTAACTAAGGGTTTTGCTTTGAGACAGTTCAGAGAGTTCTTAAAGAATATGTATGAGATCGCAGCCTATAAAGGCAAGAATAAGCTGAAGTCAGTGTTCATCTTCTCAGATAACGATGTTGTACAAGAGTCATTCCTTGAAGATGTAAACAACATGCTCAGTACTGGAGTAGTGCCTAACCTGTATATCCCTGATGAACTCGGAAAGATCAGAGATGAGATCAGACGACCCTATAAACAAGCAGGTGGAACTATTGATAACCCTGATGCTTTGAATGAATTCTTCTTCAACAGAGTTAAGGACAACTTGCATTTGAGTATTTGCATGAGTCCCATTGGTCAAGCATTCAGAGATTACTGCAGAATGTACCCAGCACTCATCAACAACACTACCATCAATTGGTTTATGAGATGGCCTGATGAAGCCTTGACTGAAGTAGCTATGAAATTCGTTGGTCAAATGGACCTCCTCTAAGAACTCAAGCCAGGCCTTGCCAAGCTTTGCAGTTTCGCTCATTCAACTTGTATTGAAAGCTCGACTCTCATGAACAAAGAACTCAAGAGAGTTTTCTACGTTACTCCAACCAACTACATTGAACTCCTTAAAGGATATAACACAATTCTCACACAAAAGAGAAAGGAGGTTGGTAACTAAATTTCAAAGCTAAGAAACGGTCTACAAAAGCTAGACGATGCTCGTAAGCAAGTAGAGGAAATGACTTAAGAATCTGAAGTCAAGAGAGCTGAGGTCAGCAAGTAGCAAAAGATCTGCGAGGATCTCATGATTACTATGAGCAAAGAGCAAAGAAACGCCGATGAACAGCAAAAGAAAATAGAAGGTGAAAGAGTTAAGATCGAGAAGGAAAAAGAAGAGACTGAGAAACTTGCTGCTGATGCTGAAGCAGAGCTTAAGAAAGCTGAGCCAGCACTTCTCGCTGCTCAAGAGGCACTTGAAAGTCTTGATAAGAAATATATTGCTGAAATCAAGTCATTCGCTTCACCACCAGTCGATGTCGCCACTGTCATGTCTAGTGTCATGATCGTCCTAGGAAAAGACCCAACCTGGGCTAGTGTCAAAAAGGAACTTGCTGATCCAAAATTCGTCGATAAGATCATGAATTTCGATAAGGACAACATTTAACCAAAAACTCTCAAGGCTATTGAAAAGTACACTAAACAAGAAAACTTTTAACCAGCCTACGTTAAAGAAAAGTCAATGGCTGCTGGTGCTCTCTGTATGTGGGTGAGATCTCTAGAAGACTACGCTAAGGCTCTAAAGGTCGTAGGTCCAAAGAGAGACAAGAAAGCTTACGCTGAGGAGCAACTTAGAAAGAAGGTTGAGTATCTCTTTAAACTAGAGGAAGAATACAAGGAACTTGCAGAAAAACTTGCTGAACTAGATGCCAATTATCAAAGAACAATGGCTGATATGTCAAGTTACAAGAAAGAACTTGAAGACTTACAAACTAAGATTGATAGAGGTGATAAATTGATCACAGGTCTATCAGGTGAAAAGACCAGATGGGAAGCTTCATTGATTGAATTAGATGATCAATACGAAAAGCTTGTTGGTGACTGTATTCTGGCTGCTGCCTTTATGAGTTATTGCGGTCCTTTCCCTTCTGAATACAGAGACAATCTTAATTCAAACTGGATCTCAACTGTCGAACTTGAGAGAATTCCATTCACTCCAAACTTTGATTTCTCAGAGTTCATGGCAGGTTAAGCTGTTGCCAGAGAGTGGCAAATGAACGGACTCCCAACTGATAAGTTCTCATTCGAAAATGGTGTGCTCGTAACCAGAGGACTCAGATGGGCTCTTAACATTGATCCTCAAAGTCAAGCTAACAATTGGATTAAGAAAATGGAAGGAGACACTCTTGTCATCGCTGACTTCAAAGATAATAACTATATAAAGAAGATTGAGTAGGGTATTGTCCAAGGAAAACAAGTACTTTTCTAAGATGTTGAGCAAGAAATGGATCCAGTACTTGATAATGTTCTTAACAAATCACTAGTCATTATTGGAAAGAAAGCAATCATTAAGCTAGGAGGAAATGATATTGAATACAATAGAAACTTCAAGCTCTACATTACAACCAGAATGTCAAATCCACATTACACTCCAGAAGTATCAACCAAAGTCTGTCTGGTGAACTTCACTGTCAAAGAGTCAGGTCTTGAAGAGCAATGCTTAGGTATTGTCGTGAAAAAGGAACAGCCAAATCTTGAGCAGACTAAGAATGATGTTGTCCAAAGAATCGCCAATAACAAGAGACAGCTTATTGAGCTAGAAGACAAGATTCTTAGAATGCTTTCAGAATCTAAGGTGAATCTCTTGGAAGATGTTTCTCTTATCTCAACTCTTCAAACAAGTAAAGAGACATCTGATGAAGTCAAGTAAAATCTTGAACAAGCTGAGTAAACAATGAAAAGAATTGATGATACAAGAGAAACTTACAGACCATGCGGTAAAGTTGCATCTATTCTATTCTTCGTTTTGAATGATCTCAACAAGATTGATCCAATGTATCAGTTCTCGCTGGAGTGGTACAAAAAATTGTTCCAAAAGTCAATTGAGGACAGTAAAGAACAGGGGTACGGAGAGAGACAAAAGAATATTCTCAAAACCCATTAGCTTGCAGTTTACAGATAAGCATGCAGATCATTATTCGAGAAACATAAACTCTTATTGAGTCTTCAAATTTGCGTTAAACTAAAGATGGCCGAAGGAGAAATCAACGAAGAAGAATGGACATTCTTCCTCAGAGGAGGCTAAGTAATGGATAGATCTACCCAACCACCTAAACCACCCTTTGAGTGGATTACTAACACTGCTTGGGATAACATTACTGAACTCGAAAAGATGTTACCAGAAACCTTTGTCGGTATTGCTAATGCTATCACTCTTAATCCTAAGGAATGGTAGAGATGGTTCTTGTCTTCAAGGCCTGAGCCAGAAAATGCTCCACTTCCAGGTGAGTGGGAAACCAAATGTGAGGATAGACTTAAGAAGATGATTGTCTTGAGATGTCTCAGACCAGATAGAGTCCTCTTCGCCATTAGAAACTTTGTCGAACATTACATGAGGAAAGACTTCGTCGAGAACAAGCCAACTCAACTTTAAGAGGTTTATGATGAATCATAGCCAGATACTCCAATCATCTTTGTGCTTTCACCAGGTGTAGATCCATCCGATCAACTTAAGAAATTCGCTGAGAAGCTAAATCAAAAGATTGAATCAATATCTCTTGGTAAAGGCCAGAGTGAGAAAGCTAAGAGAATCCTAACTGAAGGAGCTGATAAGGGTAACTGGGTATTCTTGGCTAACTGTCATCTATCAATCAGTCTCTTGCCAGAACTAGAATCAATCATTGATCTAGTGTTTAAACAGCATAACGATCCTAACTTCAGACTATTTATGTCTGCTAGTCCTCATCCCAAGTTCCCTATTTCTTTATTGCAAAGATCACTGAAAGTCACCTAAGAGCCTCCAAGAGGAATTAAGGCAAACATGCTTAGACTTTATGATAATATGGGAACATTTTAAGAGGTAGATCAAGACAAGAACTTCAGAAAAGCAGTGTATGGTCTCTGCTGGTTCCATTCTATTCTCATTGAGAGAAAGAAGTTCAAGACTCTTGGTTGGAACGTATCTTATGCTTTCAACGACTCAGATTACTCAGTTTGCGAAGATTTACTTGCTATTTATATGGGAAGATTGAAGGATGGAAAACCAGCCGACACCTATGATAAGAGAGCCGCTCTTCCTTGGCAAGCTATTCAATATTTGATTGCTGAGGCTAACTATGGTGGTAGAATTACAGATGATAGAGATAGAAGACTTATTAAGGTATACGCCAAAGAGATCTTCAATGAGACAGTCATTACAGCTGAAAAGTGGAAGCCACCTCAAACAGATGATCTGACATACGGTTATCCAGCAGATGAGCAAAACGCTAAGCACCCAGATCAAGCTGCTCTATTCACTCCAGACTTCTTCTATGATGAAATTCTTAACAAGATGGAGAGCATTGATTATCCAATAGCATTCGGCCAACATGTAAATGCTGAAATCACATCTTAAATTTTGGACTCAAGTGATCTACTTGACTCTATACTTAGTTTACAACCCCAAAAGGTTTCAGCTGACGGTGAATCAAGAGAAGATAAAGTTATGAAACTAATTAACGATCTATAAGAAAATATGCCACAATAACTTGACATAGGAGTGCTAAAGTACAAATTCAGAAACGATGAGAACCCACTGAATGTAGTCTTAGTTCAAGAAATCTCAAGATACAATATTCTTTTGAATGTGCTTTTAAGTTCTCTCGACCAACTTGACAAAGGAATTAGAGGTTTCGTAGTCATTTCACCAGAACTAGAGAGCATTATGCAATCATTATATGAGAACAAAGTACCCAAACAATGGGGATTCGCATTCTTCTCACTTAAACCACTCGCTGTTTGGATTAGAGATCTTAATGAAAGATATAAGTTCTTTGCTGATTGGGCTGCTAAGAGTGCTCCATTTGTATTCTGGATCTCAGCATTCACTTACCCAACCGGTTTCACCACATCGCTATTGCAAAGATTCAGTAGAAAGCCAAATGGTGCTCCAATCGATAAATTGGAATTCGACTTCATTCCTATTCCAAAGGCTCTTAAGGATGTTAATGAACACGCTAAGGATGGAGCATACATTACTGGACTCTACTTAGAAGGTGCTAAGTGGAACTTCGAAAAGCAATGTCTCATGGAACCAGAGGTCATGGAACTTCAAGTTCTCATGCCTGTCATTCATTTCAAGCCTATCCAAAAGAGATCAAAGCCACCTCAAAATGTCTATGAGTGTCCATGCTACTATTATCCTATCAGAGAAGGTACAATCGACAAGGATTCCTTTATGCTAAAGATTGATTTGAAGACTGGTGATCAAGCCTAGGAGTTCTGGATCAAACGTGGTACTGCTCTACTAATGTCTCTTGCTAATTGAGTTTGATCAAAGTTTAAAATTTTATAATTCTCATAAATTAAGAGAAACCATTAATTTCCTAAATCTTAAATATAGACATTTTCATCATATATTTAGTTTATGGGGTTTTGGGGTTTTGGGGTTTTGGGG